AGAGTATAAGAGTAGGGAAGTCTTGCAGCAACTGTATAGGGCCCTGGTGAGACCACACCTGGAATACTGTGTGCAGTTTTGGTTTCCTTATTTAAGGAAGGATGTACTTGCCTTGGAGGGGGTGCAGCGTAGATTTACTCGGTTAGCACCAGGGATGAAGGGGATGAGTTATAAGGATAGGCTGACCAATTTGGGCCTATATTCTGTAGAATATAGAAGAATTAGAGGGGATCTTATAGAAACCTATAAGATCATCAAAAGGCATGATAGAGTAGATAGTGGGAGATTGTTTTCCCTGGTTGGAGAAACTAAAACCAGGGGTCACAACCTTAAAATCAGAGGCCAGTCCTTTCGCACTGAGTTGAGGAAGAACTTCTTCACTCAAAGGGTGGTGAATGTATGGAACTCACTACCCCAAAGAGCTGTTGACGCTCAGTCCTTGAACATATTCAAGACTGAGATAGATTTCTTATTGCAAAAGGGATTAAGGGATATGGGGATAAGGCAGGGTTAGGTTATTAGCTGGAGTTAGATTAGAAGATCAGCCATGATTGAATGGCGGGGCAAGCTCGGTGGCCGAATGGCCTACTCCTGCTCCTACATGTTATGTTAAATTATACTCCCTTTACCCAAGTCCAGAATATTTATATCTGTCTAGGTCACTTATATTAAATTGTGCAACTTTATTTAGAATTATATAATAATAATCCTTGCATTTGATATGGTGCCTTTCACATCGAGAGGATGTCTCAAAGTGTTTCACGGGATTTACTGTGGAGTGGAGTGACCGTGTATTTTGAAGGTAAACACAGCAGTACAATTTGCACAAGTTAAAGAATATATAGAACTCTGCAGCCCGCATATTCTCCCCCATTAAACTCTGTGAGTCCACCTTCCCCATCCTCACCTGCCTTCTCTGTGTCCCTTATCAGCAATGGATCAACTTTAAGATCCCCATCCTTACCTGTAAGTGTCTCGTTGACCTATCATTGAGATTTCTGCGGCCTCACTCCCTTGGCAACTTCCTCCACTTTATCAACATTGGCCTACTCCATGACTCCGACCGACTTTGTCCAACCATCGACAGGTGACCTTTCAGCCACTTTGCCCCTGTTCCTGTAATCAAACTCTCTTTTGAAATTCCTCTACCTCTGCTCCTCTGCTTTCAAAACCCATCTAGAAATCTAACTCTTTGACCTTGCTTGGTTGGGCTGCCATTCAATCTTTGTAAAGCACTTTGAAATGTTTTTCGTGAACAGAAGCTTTAAAAGTTGCAAATTGTTGTTTCCAAAGTGTGTGGGTGGGTGTTTGTTGTGGGTGTGGTTGTGTTTGTCATCTATGTTCAACTTTGAAATTGTTGTACATAGGTCAAATTGAAAGAACTTGCACATACTGGTTGTCAACTGCTTCTACAAATACTGACCTTGCCTTTTGTGGTCAGATTTGCAACAACTTCTCTGACAGAGGAAGAGGGGAACACAAATAGATTTCAATATCTTGCTTTACAGCACCTATTTAAGAAACACACTGCACAGAGAAGATAAGCCACACCCTATACTGTACTGCGCCCTTCTATTCCAAAATAATCTTGGAGGCCAACGACAACCCCAGGCTTCTCTTCTCGATTACCAACCGGCTCCTCGAGAACAAAATTGAGGATTTCCTCAAGACCAAAATCGAGGGGATCCGTTCAGCTGCCTCCACCTTCCCAACAGCCACCTCCTCCCCACCTCTCCCTCACATTTCGGCTCCTACCCATCACTCCCTCGAACCTGTCTCGCACTCCTCTCCCACCACCACGATAACCTGCATGAAGCCCACCACCTGCTCCCACGACCCCAGCACTACCCCTCTCCTTACCTCCCAGCTCCACCTCCTCGCTCCTTTACTCTCAGACCTTGTCAACCTCTCCTTGGCAACTGCCACTGTTCCCACCCCCCCCCGAAAAACAGCTGTCATCACCCCTATCCTAAAAAAACCTTTCCTGGACCCATCCTTGTGACTAACTGCCACCCCATCTCTAACCTTCCTTTCCTAGGTCCTTGAAAGAGTTCCTTCCTCTCCAGTCACTCCCTTTATGAACCCCTCCAATTAGGTTTCTGTGCTGCCCACAGCTCGGAAACAGCCCTGGTCAAGGTGACAAATGACATTCTGTCCATCTGCGATCAGGGCTCCCTCTGTCTCCTCTTCCTCCTTGACCTCTCTGCTGTCTTTGACACCATTGACCAATCTATCCTCCTCCACCACCTCTCCTCTTACCTCAACCTTCAAGGTTCTGCCCTTGAATGGGTCAGATCCTATCTCTCACAGCGGCTCCACTTTGTCATCACAAACAGCTTCTTCTCCAGGCCCGGACCATCTGTGCGGTGTTCCTCAGGGCTCTGTCCTCGGTCCTCTCCTCTTCAACCTGTACATGCTCCCTCTTGGTGACATCATCCACAGACATGGGATCAACTTCCATATGTACGCAGATGACACCCAACTCTATCTCTCTGCCTCCACCCTTAACTCCAGGACCACTGATGGCCTGACAGACTACCTGTTAGACATCAAGTCCTGGATGAGAGACAACTTTCTACAGTTGAACATTAGCAAGACCGAGGCTCTACTGATTAGCTCACGCCAGCGCCTCCGCACCTCAGGCATTGGCAGCTTCAACATCCAAGTATCCACACTCAACCTCCCCAAGCCAGTCAGGAACCTAGGTGTCTTGGTCGACCCTGAACTGTCCTTTCTCCCATACATCCGTGCCATGACCCGCTCTGCCTTTCCCCACCTCCGTAACATTGCCCAACTCCAGCACTGCCTCACCCCTCAGGCCGCCAAAATCCTCATACATGCCTTCATTACATCCAGGCTCGACTATACCAATGCCCTGCTTGTTGGCCTTCCCAATTCTTCCTGTCACAAGCTACAGATCATCCAGAACTCTGCAGCCCATGTCCTCTCCCACACCAGGCTCCCTGACCCCATCACACTCACCCTCGCCCAGCTCTACTGGCTCCCCAGTCCTCGGAGGATCGAATTAAAAATTCTTGTCTTCACTTTCAAGGCCCTCCAAGGCCTTGCTCCCTCCTACCTCTCCCACTTGCTAACCCCCTATCAACCTGTCTGCTCCCTCCACTCAGCAGACTCCGGCCTGCTCCATGTCCCCGCTTGCCCCCCACCCCCCCATTCGGGTCCTAATCCCTGACTGTTCAGCAACATTGGATGTCCTCCCGACATGAAAGGCGCTGTACAAATGTAATTTTGTATTGTAATGTAATGAAACATGCCACTCCTTTCCAAGTACAAAGGCTAGAAACAAAATGTTTCAGCACATTCAACGCGCTGGTGATTTTCACATATAGCGCCTTATCACATTGTTTTGATCCATCTCAAAGCACTTCACAGAATAAAATTGCCACGTTACACTTGAATGGGTGTTACGTTTATTAGTGTATTTGAACTTTCCTTTCTGTGTGAGGTGGATATGCTGTACACCAGATATCTTTTCAAGAGCCATTTCTGAATTGTCTTATTAATAGTCCCAGGTGCACCAATGATTAGAGGAGCTATACTTGTCTTGTACTGCCACATGTGTCTGCATTCAATTTGTAAGTTATCATACTTCATCAGTTAGTTGATTGGCGGATAGCTTTTCAGGGGTAATAATCCCTTCAAATAATTTGGTCACTCAATCCATAACTGTTTATGAGACATTGTTTTGCACAATTGGCTGCTACGTTTCGCCCACAAAATACACAGTCACTCATAAAGAGATGACTAATAATAATATTATTTGCCTTTTATGTAGCACCTTTCATTTCTTGAGGATGTCTTCAAGCATTTTGCAGGAGTCGCAGTATAGTGTAGTAACTGTGTTGTATAGGAGTTGATGGAGGCTCATGTGGCGTATAAATGACATGGACAGGTTGAGCCGAATGGCCTGTTTCTCTGCTTAAACATTCTATGAAATAATAATAATATTTCTTGCATTTGATATAATGCCTTATCACTATGTCAAGACATCTCAAGGTGTTTCACTGTAAACTGGTATTGGGCTGAGGATGTTCATTGGTCTCTGAGTAAATAGCAGTTCAGAGCAGTCCAAATGTCCAATGCAAAGAGTAGTTGCCATGCAGAGCTGTGGATGTTATTGTTGCTCATGTGTGAATTATTTGCAATGTACAAATCCTGCCTGCACACACCTTTACTGAAGTTGATCGTATACACAATCCAAACCACTTTACAGTGCCGTATATCCTGTGAAGCACTTTGAGACGTCTCGATCACGTGATAGGGTACTATATCAAATACAAGGATTATTATTCTTATCTTTCTCCATATTTACGAGGAGAGAATTCAATATTTCAAAAGCCATCACAGATCTCGGTAAACCTACAACAACAGGATGCAGCTGCCTGTTGACTTTGCAGATATGTAGATTGTGGAAGGCTTAACTGCTGGATATGCTTGACAAGTTGCTGATATAAACCAATTCCAACACCACATGTGATATGACTTTATATGGACTAGCTTAGACACTGCTGGGTAGGGATATAAGACAAAACAGTGAATAGAACTTGTAATATGTATTGAGACATTCTCACAATCGCTCTCTTGACACCGCTAATTGTATGCCTGAATGACAGGAAACGGTAAGGTGGATGCCCCGGAAGGATGAGCTCAAATGTTTGTACAAGCTTTCTCCCTACAAATCTATCTTGTGACACTTTATTGTGCATTGCAACAAATTAAAAGCTGGGTTTTCATTTTAAAATCCCCTTCACTTCTTTTTGGGACCCACACTCCCTTGCACCATACCCTAAACTGCTGGTATGAGAACACTTGATGCAATCCATTAGTGTTCATATATATATATGTTTGTGAATGGATTTTTTCCACATGGAACCACTGTCAGGAAGCGATACTCCACCAAGAGCAGCTCCTTCAGGAATAACTGCACATGTGCTCTTTTGTACAAAATGTAATAATTGCTTTTTATTTTATTTTTACAGGGGATGAAATGAGCAAGTACCAGCAAGAGTTTCTGGAACTCAGTGACAAGCTGCAAAAAGCAGAGGAAGAAAACTTGAAACGCTCTAAGGAGCTGCACCAAGTGCTGGAGGTGATTAAGACTGTCCTAGCATCAGAGAGAAAGTCAATGAACATCACTTCAAAGATCGTGTCTGGATTCTCAGGTACACCCGTGGTATATTTGCTCTGCGGAACCAAAAACGCTATAATATTTTTAAATTTGTCCTTATTTTCTTAAAGAGTATCCATAAATTTAAAATAGTGAGCAACAATTTGAAAAATATATGTGGAGAAACACAGTTTAAATCCAAGAATGATCAATGTTTGATACAAAATGTGTCGGGTGAGACTATAGATGCTGAAACATTATTAAGAGACTATAGATGCTGATCAGATTATTAAGATCAAATTATTAAGAACAGTCAGAGACTGACTGCTCTTTTAAAGCTTGAGTCTCAGTGGGTCGAACAGCCTTTTCTCATGCATGACTTTTCTACATGATTTGATTCCACTGTATCTTGTGATTAATTTGCTGTGGAGGGCTTCAGTTTAACTTTATTTTGTCTACTTTCTCTGTTCTTAGATGAAACAAAAGTGAAAGCAAGGAACCTGACCAGAGGTCAGAATAAACTGCAGCCAAGTATCTTCCATCACCTCCCTCACCTACTCACTCGTGAAGACAGTCTTCAACCAAAGTTACTGTTAGGACAAGGGAGGACTGGAGGTAAAGAACCAGCTGCAAGAGATGCAGACAAAGCTGCATCTTAGGACAGCCCACACAAACCAGACTCACATCAAAACAGATTTCTTCATGCATCGTGAATTGAGTGATCAAATTATTAAATAATAATAATTTGATCACTCAATCCATGACTATTTGTGGGACACTGCTATGCTCAATTGGCTGCCACATTTTTGCCCACAAACTTTACAGTGTATTCTGTGAGGCACTTTGAGACATCTCGAAGACGTGATAAGGCCCTATATCAAATGCAAAGATTATTCTTGTTATTATACAAAAAGTATGCAAAAATCCAGTACTGTAGGTACTGGAACAAGAAGCTACAAAGGGTTTCAGAATAACTAGGCATATTCCTCTCAACTGAAAGTAAATATTCAGTGTTTGACTCAGAGCAAAATATTAACTAATCGATTCCTGATTGAAATGCTGCTATGTTAACAAACAGTATTGTTGGCAGGACATCAGAAGGAACCGGTTTCTCTTTTCAAATAGTGCCATTGGATCTATAACATCCACCCGAATAGGTAGACAAGACCTCCATTTAACTTTTCATCCGAAGGATGGCACCTTTAACAATGCAGTTCTCTCCCAGGACTGTATTGGAGTTTCAGCTAAGATGGTGTGAGTTCAAATTCCCAACGGGAAGCTTGATCGCTCAATCTTCTGACTCATAAGTGAGTCAGTGCAATCAACTGAGCCAGGCTGACGTCTAAATTATAGAGCACAAGGAGGAAGAATTAAGAGAAGTAGGATAAAATAACAACAACAACAACATGGTTACATTTGTATAGAGCCTTTCAAGTCGGGAGGACGTCCCGAGATGCTGGACAGCGTACAGCGTTTCAGATACAAGCTGGGATCAGCTGGGGGGGAGAAGGGAGGAGAGGCAGGGGGAAGGGGGAGTGACCGATGTCATAATAACCAGCAGAAAGAAGCAAAGAGAAAACCATGGATATAAAAGTAACAAGCTCTTTGAGAAATAGAGGAGCAAATGGTTAGATATAGGAGAGAGGGAGACAGGGAACGACAGAAAAGCTTAGAACTAAAGACGAGAGTGCACTCACATGTGAAAAGTGGTAGCTGAGAAAATGTAACAGAATTAAAATGTAGAGAAATCGAAGCTGGTCAAAGGGGAGATAGACGTTAAGAGGTTCAGGACTGAAAGCCTGAGCTGAGAGCAATGAGACGCAGCGTACAGTAAAGAAAAACGATAGCAGCAATGCACTGTAAGTTAATGGGTACTTTCAATTATTTTGCTGTTAGACCAAATTGTGTTAATCTCTGAAACCTATTCGTTTACTCCATTATTGTCTCAAATTTCATCTCAGCTGGGGTAGCATTCCCCTTGCCAACTGCTCTGTAAAGTCCTGGAGCTCAGTGGTTAGAGCACTCGCTTTGCAAGCGAGAGACCTGAGTTCAATTCCAGGCAGGGCGAAACCTTGGGCAAGTTTCCTTACTCCACACGCCTAATAATAATCCCTCCAAAACCAAAAACAATAATAAATTGGTCATTTTCAATCTACGACTGTTTGTGGGACATTGCTGTGCACAATTGGTTGCTGCGTTCGCCCACAAATATATAGTCAATTCACTTTACAGTGTGTTCTGTGAAGCGCTTTGGGATGTCCTCCCGACGTGAAAAGCGCTATATCAAATGCAAGGATTATTAAAGGAACGGGACTTTCACCATGCTCACCCTCTGTTTCTATCTCGGGAAACAGCTTGTCCGTAATAATAATAACCCCTTCATCATCCCCAAACTCTCAAAGGCCTTCAACTTCATGACTGATGGGTTTAGAAAGAAAACCTTAACTGGTAAACTGAAAATAAATGTGTGATGACAGTGGGCATGAGTCGTTTTCCTTTCATTGTCTACATGAAAGACATTGCCCTTTATTTAGCCCTGAATTACTCAATCACATTTCCTCCATTTCTACCCAAACCACTTGTGCTTATTATGTTTTGGCTGTTCCTATGTGAAATATCCATCATAAAGTACGTTCAATGCTTTCTTCTCCAGCTCCTTTTGAAGTAATTGTTTTATGCACTGATATAAAAAATGACCTCTTATTCAGAGCGATTGCCATTTGAAAGTGGCTTTAGTGTTCAGATCAATTTTGTGTGAGACGGCTGTAAAAGGCTCAGATGAAGGGTTTGAGATTCTTCAGAATCAAATATTTGTGCAAACCTAGCAAATTCCTCTGTCCACAAGCTTAGAAAGGAAGGACTTGCATTTAACACATTAACACATTGAAAGATCTCAAAGGGTTTTACATTAATTACTGTGAATTACTTTTTGTAGGCATCCATTTGCACCACCATAGTCCCATAAACTTCAATGAGATTAATTAGGTTAACTAATCTGAAAGATTTGTGCAGTCTGGACGCTGTGAAAAATTCCTTTCCCCTTTTGAATTGTATCATGGTATCTTTCACGTTCACTACTTCACTTTACAACATCTTATTTGGCATAGCGCCTTTCACATTGGGAGGACGGCTTAAAGCGCTTCACAGGATACGCATTAAAGTGCTGTGACCGTATATTTTAGAATAGCAACAACAAGATTACATTTGTATTTTATTGGCGAACATGGCAACATCCCACAAACAACTATGAAGTGAGTGACCTATTTTATTTGGGATTGTTGGCCAGGACACCAGGAGAAATCGCCTTCTCTTTTTTAATAGAGCCATGGGATCTTTAACGTTCAGTTGAAGAGACAGATAGTACTTTGGTTTAACGCCTAATCCGAAGCACGGAACCTCCAACATTGCATTGCTCCCGAGCACTGTGTTGGAGTGTCAGCCCATAGAATATATGAATCCCAAGATTAAACATATTAGTAATGTAAATGAGATTACATTGGAAGATGACCCTTTATAGATTAATTGGTTAAATTGGAGCCAGGCTGTACTTTTGGCACACAATGCTATATTACTTATTGCACATGTATTTTTAAATGGAACCCACAGAAATTTCAGGAGCATCTTTGACCCTTCAATCTCTTTAGATCTATGCATATCTCTAATACCTTGTCTCACAGCCACCAACGTCGATTTAGCAAAAGGTTCGTGATCAATGAGTGAGGCATGCATTTAGGCCAAATCCATCCTGAGATTGATTTGGGCACATTGTATGCTTGCAATATATTTCTGTCACCTGGATTTATGATGCAAATACTTGCTATTTCGCTACTATCTTCCTCCCCCCTCGCCTATTCATCCACTCCACTTCCTGGCCTACAGTATAATGCAAATGTGCATGATATTTGTGTTCACATGAACTGTCAAGTCGCAGGTGGCTGCTGCATTTAGATATATTTTTAAATATGATGTTCATGCTTAAAAATATACCTTATCTCTTCCTCCCCATATTCAGGTCATACCTGAAGACCTTCCTATTCGAACGTGCTTACGGTCACCTTCCCCTCCCACTGGTTCGGAGTTGTGCTCTCCCACTGTTAAGCGCTCTGGGATGCTACCCTGCATGAGGGGCGCTATATAAATGCAAGTTGTTGTTGTTGTTCAGTGGTATAAGCAACAGGTCTAGTCAATCTAGCGAGGTGCATCTATTTACTGAACTGGAATGTGACAAAATAGTTCTAAACGTAGAAACTACCGACTGAAATAGTTTCAGCTTGAACTGTAATTGGACAAGTTCTATACCGGATACCAGCTGGAGTTTCCTTTACCTGCAATAACAACAACAAATTGCATTTTTATAGCGCCTTTCACATCGGAAGGATGTCCCAAGGCTTGAAACACTCAATCTGCTTGGAATTGAGTATCGTATCAAAATTCTTGAACCACACTTTGCTTTTACAGTAATTTTGTAGCTTATTTCTCTCAGACCATAACTTAGTTACTCACCAAGCCAGTTCGGAATCTATGTGTATTGTTCGACCCTCAACTGATTTTTCTTCCCCACATCCAAGCCATGACCCGCTCTGCCTTCCCTCACCTCCTTAACACCGCTCGACTCCGCCACTAACTCACCCCTCAGGCCGCTGAAACTCTTGTTCATGCCTTCATCACCTCCAGGCTCGACTATGCAAACGCCCTGCTTATCGGCCTTCCCAACTCCTCCCTCCACAGGCTGCAGATAATCCAGAACTCTGCAGTCCGTGTCCTCTCCTGCACCAAACTCCTCGACCTCATCTCCCCCATTCTCGCCTGACTCCATTGGCTCCCTATCCTTCAGAGGATCCACTTCAAGATCCTGGTTCTCACCTACAAAGCCCTTCATGGCCTCACATCATCCTACCTCTGCAACCTCCTAACCCCTTAACAACCCGCCCGCTCCCTCCGCTCAGCCGGCTCTGGCTGCTCCACGTCCTCCGACCCACCCGCCCCACCATTGGCGGAAGAGCCTTCAGCCACTCTGCCCCCAACCTCTGGAATTCCATCCCCCAATCACTCCACCTCGCCCCCTCCAAGTCCTGCCTCAAGACCCTCCTCTTCGACCATGCCATTGGTCAAACCCCCTTCCCCTCCCCTCCCTTCTCCCTCTCTAACCCCAGCTCGGGTCTGAAATACTGTACTCTGTCCAGCACCTTGGAACGTCCTCCCGACATGAAAGGCACAAGACAAATGTAATCTTGTTGTTGTTAGTTTTACATCAGGTTCTCAGGTTTCTATAATAAAATACGAGGCCAACTGACTCTGTTTATTACATTCACAGACTTTTTAAATTCCTAAACTTACAAATATATATGCAACTTTCTGGCATTTTGTTGCATCAAAGCCATTCTGCACCAACTACAACAGCAACAACTCATATTTATATAGCACCATTCACACGGGGTAGCATCTCAGTTTGATGCCAGGGAGAAGAAGAGATTGAGGCAGGGAGTTCCAGAAATTCGAAGTAGTGGCTGAAAGCATGGTGGAGTGGCAGGGTCATCGATTGGTGCCCAGAAGGCCAGAGCTGGCTGAGTGAAAGGGCTGGTAGAGGAGTGGATTGTGAGCAGGTTGAAGAGGTA